TATCTCGTATTAATTTTCCCATTTATTTACATTATAAATATAATTGAGAGCTGCGATATATGTCAAGTAGTTGTAACACGCGCGTGTACCACTTTCTTTCCCACGCACGTGAAATAATTAGATTTTATGATTAGATCTTGAACTACCACTGCGTCATACAAAAGTTGCGCATTCAATTCTATTAATAAAGTTTATTATTTCTTGCTGAAAGATCTCACCATTATTTTGATTGAAGTGAAATTAAATACAATAAAATTTGTACTGCAAAAAAATTCAATGCCGTCAATTTCTTGTAGCGCTTCTTATGCTGTTTTTATTAATGTTATTAAAAAGCGCTATAAAAAAATTGACGGCATTAAATTTCATTGTTTTTAATTTTATTCTAAATAAACAAAATAATGGTGGAATTTCTCTTTTTCGCAAAAAATAAAATATGATATGATGCTCGATGTACCGTGACGTATCGTTAAAATATTTGCAAGAGATTAACGGTCCCGATTCTTATCTTACACTCAATTAATCAGTGCCCGATAAACAAGGACAGGTTTAGTCATCGGGTTGCCGCGAAAGGAAGACCGTGAGAACGCGGCTTTCCGCTTCGGGTTATGCGCGCGTCCGTAAAAGCGGAATTGCTTTCGTGGGATATCGCCGCGAGGAGCTTTCGTCTCGCGGGTAGAGAGAAGGGACTATAAAGGACCGACATAACGCCTTATTTAACACAAGAAATATTTCCTCTCGTAAGAGAGAGGGAGAGAGGAGCGCTCGAGCGCCAGTGAGTTTCTCTTATCGGAAAGACGACACACAGTGAAATGCGCTAATCTCGATGATCGATGGCGGAAATGCGGCGTGAATCGCGAATGCAATCGATAAAAGATTAGAGAGCCTGGTGCGATGATCTTGAGACGCGAAAGTCCTTTCCGTCTGCGGCGCGGTGTAATCAATACGAGGAGAACGGTCTCTCTTCTCTCTCTCTCTCTCTCTCTCTCTCTCTGTTAAGAGAAAGGGTTCCCGGCAACGTTCGCGCAATGAGAATGCAAGCGCCGCCGTTGATCTCAAACAGGCAATGACACAGATTAATAAACCATAACCGCATTGAGATTTCATCTCGACAAGAGTTTGACGGGGCATCGCATAGTAACTTTTTAATTTCAATCTGAATTTATCCGAAGTCACGAGCGCGCTTTCATGCTAAAAGATGAGCTAGACGAGACGTTGAGAACAGCCAGCCAGGGTGATCAGTTCGAGGAACGCGATCGACGAGCTACGCTCGCAGATCCCTTTCTCTCGCTGTAGAAAAGCAAAATGGTACGAGGCGATCTCGTTGCGATCTCTTCGCCCTCCGTCGTCGCTAAGACCGGGAGATTCCTCATGGTCGCGTGAGGATCACTTCATCTACATGGGCAATAACGACAACCGGAGGAAGATCCATATCGAAATAATGTCGAGAAAATTATATACTGTCGCATTCAAAGAGTTTTATTGGGTTTCTAAGTTCTAAAGTTTCCTGTTTCTAACAAGTCTTGACTTTAAACATTATAAATTTATCTTACAAATTCACGTTCAAATGTTTAGATGGGAGATCTATTTTTAAAGAAAAATAATCTTAATTTTTCCTTGAATAAGATTTATGATTCGTTGTATTCTCTTAAAATATGATGCTCTCTCCAAAATAACTC